GTTCTGGTGTTATTGTCAGAAAAGTGAAATGAATCACAACAACAACACTGTACGTGTTCTTATGCTAGCTGTGTTTCGATATTTTACGTGAGTCTCAATTTCCAATTTTCAAGAAGAAAGCATAATTATATCCGCAGATTAGATAAAGTAAAAAACATTAGTTGGATTAGAGTTAGGAGATGGTAAAAGTGTTTGAGAATTATTTTCTGTTGAAGGCGGGTTAACTAATAAGTTATTGCTAGATTTTAATCACTAGTATAATTTGTTAAATATCTGGTAGAAATATTATTAGATATAGACTCGTACCTATTTCATTAGCTGAATGTTTTACTATTTGCTTAAAAGCTGATTAATGCAGGCATCGGCCAATTTGTAACCATTATAATTAACGTTAATGTGGTGTGTTTTTCTTACCTTAGTTTGAAAACTAAAAAAACTCTGATTTAAACAGGAACTTCAAAATTTACAGAAAGTGAACATCGAAACATTGATATTATTCGGATTTAATTATACATATAATGATATAACTAAAATATAATTAACAGAAAACCGTATGAAATATTTTTGATCAGAATTATAATCCATTCAACTGTTCAAAGAATGCTCTATTATTTATATAATTTGTATAATAAACATACAGAAATTTTACTAAACTCTTTACTGTACGAACGAAATGAAGTAAACAAACGGAAAAGAAAATTGTATATTCTTTATCATTAAAAGATGAAAAAATACTACTCTACATTTGAAATTTGGTTCCTCACTGTATTGCTTGTTTGAAAAACACATGCTGAATAATTATATCGTCTTTTCCTCTTTTTTGGTACGCATTTTTGAAGGGTAAAACTTTATTATTGTTTATTAGACTGAGATTATAGTATTTTAAATATAAAGTAATACAAATACAAAGTAATACTTTCTGCAAATATTTATGGTTATGTTTCACTGTGAGTTGCATTTCTTAGATCCTCTTCCTGATTCCGCGAAATTCTTATTATTTTCTCAATTGGGGATTTCCCGAAATGGCGCTCTGCAGCCCTGTTTCCATATTCTTTAGCATATGCAATCACACGTAGCTTGTATGCTACGTTATAGCAATGCCGACGTTGTTTCTCAGTCATAACTTGACAACAAATTTAAGAAACTTGAACAGTAGAAATTTCACACACTTAAAAGTCGTTCACAAAAATTGAAAAGTTTCAACGAATCCAGCTGTAATCGTCGATGACAGCGCATGCGCGTGCACTGTACGTAACTGTAATATTCGCAAAGAAACAAGAAAAAAAAATCGCATTACTCCGAATAGAGGAAATTTCCAGATATGAATGTAATCAAAAACTGAGTATCGACATATAAGACGCACTCCGTTTTTCAGAAGCGCCGGCAAATACGGTAATAGATTTTTAATATAAAAATCTGCCCTTTTGCATGTTGATATTTAACTATACAAAGTCAGCATTGCATGTGTGTGAAATTTAAAACTCTTCGGGTATTTCTTTTTAATGAGGAACAATGGTACCGCAAATTGAACTTTTCACCTAAAGTAAAAGCCATTAGAAAAACGTCGTTTTCCACCCATATTGTCACATTTTAAGAAGTATCTCAGTGCCATTAGCGTGCTTGAATAATTACAGTCGCAGTTAGTTTGCAATTCTTACGACTACCTTCCCAAATTATGCGAAGCTATACCCAAGCGTAGGCATCGCCCATTTGCAACCTACAGTCGAATTCATAGGCGAGGACACCTACTTAGCGATTACATTTCTTTTTACTTTGATACCTATGTAAGGTCGAATTTCGTGTACAGAACTTTTTTTCTTTCTTCCCAAGAACTTCACACATTCATTATGGCTACATGTATATAAAGCGAACAGAGATAGACGTTAGTTGAATAATACTTATGAGAAGCCTATATTATTTTAATACAAGAGTTCTCCAATTTATAACTTTACAACTTACATAATTAGAATACAATTTTGTGTAAATATAAAATTCTTATATCCCGTTTGTTTTGTTGAACTTTCGAGATAAGAATTAGGCTCGGTCTTTACGCTGTAAACAAACCCTAAATACTGTAAAAATTGTCAAAGTGATACAATGACTTCATTTGCAGAGTTTGCACTTTTAACATGCTTCCACATCGTCCAAATAAGTTAATCATGGCAAGAAGGATTTCATTGCTTACCGAGAAAATTAAAGTGAATGGAAAAATCCAAGCAAATCAACTGAAAACACTGAAAGATATTTCAATACACCTGATGTAGGATAAATCAAACAATAAGAGCAACATTCAATGTCATAGATACTAACAAAAGATTCTACAAATGTTTCTAGTCCTTTTAAACTCTGCGAACGTTCTGCCTGTAACCTAATACCCAATTCTTACCTTGACAATTATTTTTATTATTAATGTTACGCTAGTTATACATTAAACTGCTGTTTAAACACGATAAAATGCGCTATCAAATAATAGTGGCATATAGCTAAGTAGATAGGAATGTAAGTAGTGGCTAATCTAAGTAGCTAGCTTAGTTTTTTTTATAATGTTGAACGGCGTTTTCTCACTCCTTACCGCCGATCTTCGTGGTGTAATTGGAAACAAGTCTGGCTAGTTAAACGAGAGGTCCGGAATTCAAATCTCGGTTAGTGTGTTATTTATTTTTCCTATTTCTTGTTGCTACAAATATCCTAATGTATCTACAGTGTTGAATTAAAATATTCAGCGTGTACTGTTAAAGAAATATTGAGCTTAACGAGCACTTTAATTTACAACATCCCCTCTCCAAAAACACACCGTTTATTTTGATAAACGATTAGGTTAATATCATCAAAATGTTACAGAATAAATTTTGTAAACTGAAGTAAAGTCGCCAAATCTGTTTAAAATGCATTTAAAAAATTACCAAGTTAAAGAGAAATGTCATTAAGTAAGGGTTTAAGACGCTAAACATTTTAATTTCGATCTTAGACAAATATTTAAAATCAGGGAGAAAAACCTTGGTCTGACCTAGATTTTCAATTACTCTGTCAATTTTGAGCAGATCAGACATGAGTCCCTCGTCTTCAGGAGAAAAAATAAAAAAATAAAAAAAGATGATGTGCAGAACTTTTTTCCCCTAAATACGCCAAACTAAAGTTGTTTTATAACCTATTTTTTAATTTTACATTCGTAATGTCTCCTTCAATCCTGCAATTCCAATGACGGATACTCTCTGAATATTAAGCCTGTTGGTACAACGTCAAGTCATTTTCAGAAACGTTATGGCCATTTCATAAACACACTTTGGCATTTTCCAAATTAAAATGCTGTGAAAGTGGATATTTATGTTCCTTGTTATATTAATATTAATTTAATTAAATTTCCTTGCTATTTTGAAGGATACATTTTCTCATTGTTTAATATTATCAATATAGCCGTGGACAAACGGGATCATATTAAGTGTGTTGCCTACTGTATATAAAATTTTTGGCTATGTAAGCCCAAGCTATATTGAACGGGGAAAGATGATGACAGAATTTGGCTTTGTATGCTTAGCTATAAGTTGTTCTACTTCATTTTGCAACTAAGTTACTCATGAAACAAAAACTGCTGACGTTTTCTCCAGAAACATCGAGTAGTTATAAAATAATATATGACAGGTAGTAAGATTACAAAGTTTCGTTTTGGAATTGAATTTTGCAGGGAGATCAATAAAGTCAATGAAGTCGGATAGTTTTTATCGTTTGTTTCAGTTATGTTTGTGCTATGTGTAATTTGCTTTAAATGATAAATTTATTCTGCCTTATGCTTCTTAATTGCAAGAAACTGATACTACACTAATTTGCTTGTAAGATTAAACCCCCCCCCCAAAAAAAAACAAATCCTAAATCGAATTTTGAATTTACCACATTTCATTTTCATTGACAAAGTGCGTGTGTACAAAATTTCATAACTTAACAGGAATCGATGACAAAATTACGACCACAGTGTAACACCGTAAGTGAACTAAATAAAATCTCATGTTTTAATGATTTTAAGTTGTACTTTTCTTGCGCACTCAGCCAGAATTTGCTAGCTGATACCTATATGTAAAGCTCTAGATTTAAAGTATACTCAAAGAGTAGATGTAGAGTTGCTTTATTAAAAAGATTTTACAGGTACAATGGTCGGGATGCCATAGTTTCACCATTGGCTGTACAGGTATATTTCCATCGCTCTAATCGCCCAAATTTTGATGGAAAGTAACCAGGAAGCATGCCACCATCGTATTGATGAATTTATTTAATTTAGAAATAATTTAGCTTCCATGGATGAGCCGAATCTCTGATCTCCGAGTTTACAGGCAAGTACTTAGCGACTGGATTAAATACACTGCCTTAATGCACCATGTTTTTTCTGTGGGACAGCCAAAGCACTACATATGCGCTTAATACAATGAAACTATATGACAATTAATAGTATAGATACCATATCAGACCTTGAGATTAAAATTAGTCTACTTGTTTTTTTTTAATTTACTTATTTTTTTCATTGTATATATTATGAAACATGTATGTATTACAGCCACTATGTATGTATTATGTAACAGGCGCAATATATTATGAACTATGTAAGCAACTATGAACTATGTAAGCATGTATATGTATGAACTATGTAAGCAAGTATTATGAAAGATCTATGTATTATGAACTACTTGTATATAATGTACTATGAACTATGTAACTATGTAAGCATATATTATGAACCACGTAACTATAAGCATATGTTATGAACTATGTAAGCATGTATACAGGACCAATGTATGCCCTTATAGGCCCCATGAGGTGTTGCCCCGGATAGTTGCGGAACCTGGACTAGACCCGAATAGTCTTAGTAAGCCGCACGGGTGTCCAGATTCTGCTCTCAACTCTACTTGTTTTCAATTCATGTGAAAGTTCAAAATTATCTGAACATATTTAAATGTTAAGCTGCATATATGAGATTCGATCTTCCACTTATTTTTTAAAAAAAATTTGCACAGTTCAAGAATTAATACATTTTATTTCAATCATTAGTATCATCCTTGCACACCACTTGTAAACAAAGTTTGAGTGTATAACAAATAAAGAATATTGGTAAAAAAAATCTACACTAAAAGTCCTAAAATAAAAAGGTTAAGTTTATGAACATGCTCTAAACAAATGAAATAAGAGAAATCCAAATATGTTATTGCTTCATGGGATGATCGAGCAACAATGAATGACATTCCCCATCATATATTTGATATCATTCAAAAAATTATATTAAAACTATAAATTCAAAATTATTTTTGGGAAAACCCCCAAAATCACACTTTTACTTTTTCTCCTGCTTTCGTCAGATTTTAAAGATGAAAATTAATAAGTATTCAAAAATATATTCAAAATTTCTGTTGCAAATTAGGCATGAACAAAACGACCAAAATATTAACTGCATCGGGATTATTTAAATAAACTGAAAATAAAAAATTCGGCAATAAAACAGAATGAGAGTATAAATTATTGAGACAAACGTTTTTAACTTTACCTGCCTGAAATTTGAAAGGAGGGGATTCAAACAAATTGAAAAAAAAATTGAGTATAAACAAAATATTTATTGAGAATCAAATATATTTAATAGCCATATAGGTTGAATGCTGATAAATAATTCTCAACAAAGAAAGAGTATTTTACCAACGAAAGTTTACTCGATCATAGGTTAAGGTAGAGGAAATATTTATTTGTCACACTAGTTTACTTATGAAATAAAAATTGTCAGAATCAGCGGCTAATATTTTATCACATAATAAAAGAAATTTGTGAGTGTTTTATTGTAATTTAAAATCAACAGAACAAAATAAATTTAGTAGTTATGATACATCTGAGTATTTTTCAAAACAATAAACATTATAGTATGGCAAACCTTATATGCTTAAATAATAATTACCTAAATCTATCCAGCACATGATTTCTGCATCATTAAAAATGATATCCTGTATAATTTTGCTTGATTTCAGAACATTGTAGTACTTATATTTAAATATATATGATGGAGTTGCCAAATTAATATTCTGCTTCCCAGATATAGTATCAAAAATATAAAGTACATTATGATGATTATGTGGCTTAATCTTTCACATAATGATGCAATGTTTTACAAGTGAGAAATGAATATCTAAATTACAATGACCATATTTCAGTTTTGATTAAATGTAATTATTAATATATTATAACTGAAGTAAAAAGAATTAATAAAAATATATGAGTAGCTGCCAAAAATGATCTGTTAATAAAGAAATTATTTTAATACATAAGATTTTCTGATCCTTTTCAATGGCCTCTTTGATTTAAGACAAAAGAAAAGAAGGTATCAATAAAGTCTCAAACAATGATATGAAATGCTTTTAAAAGTAAATTACTTGTAAAAATAACATTCACTCATTGTTTACAATTTGCTTCCAACGTCGTTGTAAAATGAGCTTGAAAAGGCTATTTTTGCTTAATTAAAGCTACGCAGTTCAAGCTTGCAATAAATTTCGTAAAACTGAATGTCTTCGAAAAAAAGAGGTATAAATACAACACTTCATCCTTGTTTGTATTGCATATTAAAACGTTATACTAATATTAAAAAAGTCACTTTTTAAGCATAACCATTTTTTTTTTCGAAATTCCTTTGATATTACGGAACATAAATGCATTCAAAATCCTGACTTAAAAGTTTCTTTCAATACAAACAAGATTTTTAAAAATGCAAATATTCTAACAACATTTCTTAAGATTATGAAGTAAAGGAAATCTTTCGTAATATATCACGATGTACCTAATGCAATTATTTCCATACATAAAATTTCATATAATTTATAAATTCATACATTGCCATCAGCTGCATCTTTTGTTAATGTCTTTTCGTAAATAATTAGGAAAACATCAAACAATTTGCAAGAGTAAAAGTTAAGCTATTACTTTTTAAAGTTCAAAAGGATATTAAAACTTGTAAAATTCGTCTTATCCACACTTTTTGTGAAATCATGTTTCAAAAGCAGCCGTATAATGCATTTTTCAAGCAGAATTTCCTCACGATTGTTGTGAATATAAATTGCACCAAACAATTAATAACATCATCATAGACACAAAATTCTGGTAACCAGTGGTCACTCAGACTTAATTAGCAATAAAGCACTTATTAAAATAAAGAAGTACTTCAGCTACCAGATGAATCATCTAATGGCTTAAAACCTAATGGACTGAGCATAATTGTGGAAAACTTTCGCTGTACCTATAACTGTACACTTGTTTAACGGCCATTCCAGTCGCGCACTTGCACCACGACAGATTGTCCATCCTGTCCAGGTTTGACTCGGTAGAATTTCTGGCGATCGTTCTTTTTATCTCCAACTGTCTTCAGCTTTAATGGACTAGCCAACGGACTGAAGCTTTCTGGAGCGAAGAGTGGGGCAGTTCGCAGGTCTGAAGAAGATTTAGATCTTGAGGCACTTCCTGAAGGATACGCCGATTTCTTCCTGATGGAAGCTGTTGATGTGTGGATAGGAGAGTCTGGAGGAGACATGGAAGAGGAGCTTCCATAATGATCAGAATGTAGAACTTTTATCACTCTTGGTGGTGGACTTGATGGTGGGGTAGGTGGAAAAGGCGACTGATATCCTGATTCTGGCGGAGAAGTGGGAAATTTTCTGTTTTTCAGGGAGGATGAACTGTACCAATTAGGAGAAAGAGATGACTTATCTTTGCTGCTACGGCCATTGGTGAGAATATCTTGGCTGCTTTTCTTGTTGATTTTCACTTCATGAACGCGATTTCGAGAATTGGTAGAATAAGTGTCATTGTAGTTGGAGTTGGACCAGTCGCTTTTACGATAGACATCGTGATTGCGATTGTCTCTATGGAAAGATGCATTATTGTAAATCGGTGAAGAAGAATTTCTGTACGAATTAGTGTTTCCGTAATCATTAGAGGAATAGTAACTGCTGTACCCAGGAGAATGCAATGAGTCTGTTGATTTATAATATTTAGAATGAGATAAAGAATTTGTTGAATATGGTGACTTTGGAGATTCGTGAGTGACTTTCACGGTCCTAGGCAGGGTCAAAGTACTTCGACTAAGTCGATGTGGGCTGAGAGAACGTTCTCGATGGCTACTTCTTTTCAAAGTAGAATCATTATCATCATCATCGTCGTCATCCGACATAGATACCTGTACATTTTTATCAGTTTTGACTCGGGATATCTTACTGTATAAAGTACCGTTGCTAAGCACTTCGTAACGCAAAGGCTCATTCACTTTATTTTTAGGTATTCGGCAAAAGGAGTCACTACGTTCTCCATAATGACCGGATAAATTGGATCTTCCCAAAGAATTAGAATCACCAATGGATAATGTTGAACTCATCGCATCTGCAAGAGAATGGTTGCTTTTTTTCTTCCAGCTGTTCACATGATCACGTTGATAAGTATTGTCTTCTCCCAAGTAGAAGGTTTTCACAGGAGTTTTAGACCTAGATGACCCAGAGCTTGAAGAGACTTCAAAAGGAGAGGTAGTGGACCGCCCTAGAGTATTGTTGTGCACTGGAGTACTAGGTGGATAGGGAGGAGAAGGACTGTGTTCCATACGCCATCCAGATGAAGAATTCTTACTTCTTAGAGTCGATTCTCTAGATCTGTCTTTGATCATCGTGTCCCTTGGCGACAAATCACTAGGGCTAGACCTATGGAACAGAAACTGTAATGAGTATCTGAGAGCTGTATGTGACATCTAAGAGTTAAAGAAACCAAGTATATTTATATATTTTATTATTTTTCTTACAAAAAATATTGTAACATTAACATTACATTAAAAATATTGTAACAGCAACATTACATAAAAAATAATGCAACAACACACTTTCACTAGAATTATTACTTGGGCAGGTTTACTGATGCTAAAAACACACATTGATAAAACGAGAATCAAAGGAAAAGAACTGAACTTATATCAAATAAAAATAATTTAATGCAAAATTCAACAATGCTTGTTTAGATAAATTTTTACAAAATAATTCCAAATTATTATTTCTGACACTGTGTAGCAAATAACAAAACTAATAAATTTGATATACTTTACTTCCATTGTTCCTCTTATTTTTATAACAAAGAAAAGAAGTTAATTGCAGAAGATTTTCGGCTAGTGTACGATATGTTTATGCTTTTTCGGCTGAAACCAATGAACAAAAGCTGAAAGAAATATACTGAATCGAATTATTTAAATAATAGAAAGGCACGCTAAGGCTGTCTGCCTCGGGAAAAAGACTGCCCTCGTGGAAGATTTCTGCCTCCGTAGAAGATTTTCAAAGGCATTCTTCGTTGAATTCGAAAGTTATGAATTCTTGTGTGTGCAAAAATTAATCTTATTTTTCAGCTTTTTTAGGAAAAACCACGAAAGTTCTCATACAGCCACTCGTTCACACTTAAAACTGAATATAATTACCCGTGTTCAACAATTGTACTGCTTGGCCGCTGGCTGGACAAAAAATGAATTTTCACTACTAATTTGTCAACTCAAAACCGCTGAACTCTGGTACTTCGATCCAGATTCGAATCTATAGAATTGGTAGTACGCACGTGTTTTTATCCATGTGTAACATGAATATGATCATTAGAAATTCCTTTACGAAGACAATCCATCCCCTAAGTAGATATTGGCTAGTGTGCTTTGCTGTAATTAAAAAAACGGATGACAAATGAGCCATGGTTACCTCTTACCTTTTATGGATACAAAAATGAACCTCATTTTTCAGTAATTAAAATTAAGGATTCATACAATTTTTCTCTTCGTTATAATAGGAAGATTTACTACTACAAAAGTAAAAGTATTAAAGGAATGGAAAATTTTCCTCTTTAATTCTATGGTGAGATATCCGCGGCATCGCAAAATTTAATGAGATTCAATGTAAACAATGTTGCTCAAATTCCACAATTAATTCCAAGTGTATATACATTTTAAACCACCCAACTCTTCTCACTTGATTTTTGCCTTCATTTGTTTCGCAGCTGTTTTTCCCTCCTCCTCATTCTCTGGGAAATAAACTCGTTCTATTCAAATAAAGTGCAGAAAAACAATAAAACTGGTTCGCATTTAACTTCCTCGTTGAACTTCTAAGTGCTTGCAATCCAAACGCCGACACTAGATAGACGGGGTAAACGTGAGCGATGTTCGTCTCGTACTAAGAAGGTAATTCGTTCCCACGTGCCTCCCACGGCACGAAATACTTAGCTTTCAGCACCGTGTTTTGACGCCGTATAAATCCATTCAAGGTTACTCTTAATAAATTCCAATTCCGTATTATGTTGAAATAATCATTTAACCTCTTTCTCGTTAAGCATTTCCAAATAAGAATATTAATTTAAAAAAAGCGATTTAGTTGTTTATCATATTTTATGTAATAACTCATTAATTTTATATTGCAAGTTAAAGGAAATATTTTTTTAATAATATTTTTATTATTGAATAATGCTTCTGTAAATTTCTAATTTCTTTAATAAGTGAAAAATGCATGTGAAGCTGTAGATGGGTTGGGTGTTCCCAAATGGAAACTGATTAGAAATATTAACAAACTTCAATCTTTTCCTATTATCGAGATGCCAGTCGCCAAATATGCGTCAAACATGAACACTAACGCGAAATCCAACTGTAAGGAGGCAACCCTAAAGCTTTAAGAAGAAAAAAATGAACTTGTAATAATTGTAATGTACCATATAATGTAATATATGTAATGTTTAATGAAATCAATGCCAATTTTTTGCGATTATCTGATTTTTTTTTTAAAACGAAAAAGTTAAATTGCAGAAATTTGGTACTGCGCCCTTTAAACACTGCACAGCCGTTATGATGCGATATAAACAAGCTGCCATTTTTGACGTTTCGGCGCACATTTGGCAACTGGTTACCCATCAGCAGAAAAATGCCTATACTTTTTCCTTTCGTAAGACTTCTACTTTCCTCGAGCTATTAATTAGATGGTAATAGACTTCCTTAAGTAAAATGTCAATATGAGTTTGCATTAGAAATTACTACACGAAGGCTCCTTTCTTGGCACACAGTCTTTATTTGCTTTTCCTATCAGAATTTAAAAAAAAAAAAAAAAAAAAAAAAAAAAAACCTGAAAGCTTTCAGATTTATATTACACCCAAAAGGGCGTTTTTTAACGTTTTGCGTGTTACCTTTATCGATTAAATATTATGTTCTTCACACTTAAAACATAAAATTCAATTCAACAGCAATATCACAGAGTATTTAAAAACAACAAAACAGCCTATCTTTAGAATTTGCGATACACAGTCTCGCGCGCTGAAGATAAAAATGGTGGTTTCCCCCCCCTCCTTTTTTTTTTTTTTTTTTTTTTTCTTTCCCCGCTACAGTGTTGCTATTGTTCGCTTTAAAATCGTTGAGTTTGTTAATCAAAAATTCGTTAAAGTTCTAGAAAACTTTAAATAGATATTAAAACAAATTCAAAATTCGGACTTCAAAGTGCCCGTGTTCTGTTGGAGGACTACGTCATTCAAAATTTGATAGTTCTAGGGACCGTTGTTTCTTCACAATGCGAGAAACATTCACGAATTCTTGCGGATTCTTCAGTATTTAGTTTTTTTAAATATAATACATAGCGATAATATTTGGTGATAACAAAAAGTGAATCGACGCAAAACCCACCTGGGCTAACGCCCTTTGGGGCTAAAAAAAAAGAGCCCCTCGTAAACTGGATACTTCAGATTGCAGTACGGGATTTTTCCCTTTTTTTATAGTTGCCCACCAGCGGCCGAGCGGTAACGTCGCTGAACACTGGTAGTTCGGTCCGAGGTTCGAATCCAGCGAACGGGCTGGCTGCATGGGCGTTTTCGTGGTTTTCCCCATGTGTAACGTGTATACGAGCCAGTTTCCCTTATTTCCCTTAGAAAGTTCTCCACGAAGGCATTCCTCCCTTAAGGCAGATAGCCCTCGAGTGCTTTGCCGTAATCTAATAAAACCAAACCAAACCAACCCTTTTATAGTTTATGTATTACCATTATTCTCATGGAGTCTGACAGTGCAATTAGAAAAAACATAAGATGATGATTTGTTTGCTTGTTTATTTAAATACATGCAAACACTTGAAGCCTTCTTAGTCAGAGAGAAGGTATGCCTTCGTGAAAGTTTTACTAAAGCAAACTCATATTTACATTATACATAAATAAAAGCATGCAAACATGAGTGCCGTCTGCTCATTCCCCGAGATTCAAATCCAGTCGAATTCCTAGTGTCCAGTTTTTTTTTTTTTTTTTAATTTTTTATTCGCCCCCTGTTAAGCAAACAGGGAACTCTACAATTCTTTATAAATTAGTATTCAATGTTTATGTAGTACTTCTTTCACAAGTAGACGGTTATAGAAAATGTGTTCAAGCTTTTACTTTCGCTCCATTTAGATAAATTCAAACTACGATAGTACTTCGTATACGGCATTAATCCGTTCAAAATCCTTATAACAAACGAAATTTACGGTAAGAAATAAAGGGTTAGGTTAGGTTATTTAATTACGGCAAAGCATCGAGAGTTATCTGCCTAAGGGAAGGGATGTATTCGTGGAGAACTTTCTAAGGGAAACTGGCTCACATACACGTTACACATGGGGAAAACCACGAAAACACCCATGCAGCCAGCCCGTTCGCGGGATTCGAACCTCGGACCGAACTACCACTGTTCAGCGACTTTACCACTCGGCGGCTGATAGGCTCAAGAAATAAAGGGAAAATAGTTGATCCGTTCTCATAAAAATATCCTATTAATATTCACTGTTTAAAACTAAAATACAAATGCAGTGCGAGAAATACATATTATAGGTTAATGAAGTTTTATCACATTTATTTATCTCATTTTTCTATTTTTTCTTCTGTGAGGTCCCAACTTGGACCTGGTTGAGGATCACTAGGTCTGTCCTTTACTGAAAATCTGGGTACTTTTCCGTTTTGCCGGCGCAAGCGATAAAGTCGCCAATAATGTTACAACCGATGCCAAACGGAATATTCTCGCTGGTAACCTTTTACGGCTCATTTTCAAAACAAGTCGCAGCTTTTTCTTATCAGATTGATTGTTTCTTTCATTACTGGCATATAATTACATAGAATTTTTATCAGAGAGTTCAGTTTTATGTCTAAGGCCATTTTCGAAATTTAAGTCAATTAGGATGCAATGACAGCGCTTGCCTGAAGCCGAAAATATAGAAAAGGTAAAGTCAAGGGTTAAATTCATCGATTCTAATGAGAATGCATTAGCGAAGTAAAGCACTGCAGTTTTACATAATTTCTGAGTAAGCTATTCGTACGAACTGAAATATTTCTTGCATTTAAACTTGTCTTCCAAATTAAGATTTAACTTGAAATTAATGTAGATAATTACTGAGAGCATTAGATTTTTGTAGAGTAGTTTACGTGAGATGAGATCGCTTGGGGTCACGTGATATGAACCGGCGAATCAGGATGTTGAACCATAGTAAATTCTTAAATTAATGTTCTTTTGCAAATTTATTGCCTTTATTTATTGGCTTTTTATAAAATTGTAAGCGATATTAATATGTTTATACATTCAAAAAAAGAATTCTTAGACCTAACATTTTTGTAATATTTTTTATGTGTATACTGTATGTTGTCGCCAATAAAGTCTGCTTGGCGAGATTTGCGCCGGCGAAACGGAAAAGTA